CCGCCCTTGTCCTACCCGCCGAGCTGGCCTGTCCTCACTAGGACATGATCTCTCCCAAGACCCAGGCGCAAAGGTGAAGGTGTCAGTGTGTGCTGGGGCGCGAGGATGACAGGAGAGGACGCCAGCCACCACGACACGGGCTGACCTGCCACAGCCTGCCTGACCGGGCTCCGCGGGGCGGTCCACCCGCAGGGAAGGGAAGGTTCCATCCAGAGCAGGACCCACAGGAAGGGGCCGGCGCCCCCCCCTCACCAGCTCCCGGCTCAGAGGTCCTACCTTTTTCTTCTTCAGAATCACTTTCACTCCGTCCACTGAAACCATAATGCTCACTTTCTTCTTCTTAATGTTCTTGGCTTTGAACTCATACTGCAGGAGAGAAGGAACAGAAATGCCGACAATCAGACTCGGGACCGGACAGAGGCCCACAGACAGCCTGAGGGACACGGACACTCTGGGTGAGAACAGGGACCCTGAACAGTCACCGGCTCACTGCTCAGCCCTCAGGCAGGACCCTGGATGGACCTAATCATCCTGCCCACGTGGACACTCTCCTGGGAACCCAGAGCCGCCCCTCAGCGACTCCGCCTGCGGTTTTACTGCCGCTTCTGCCAGGCGACTCGGCCTCAGGAAGACCCGAGTGGCCCCGTCTCCCTTGGGCGCACACACGAAAGGCCGTGCATGCTGTGACGCTCCGGTTCCATTCCCAAGTCCTCTATCTGCAGGTGGGTCTCCACGTCACCCACAGCCTGTCGGCTGAAGGCCTGGGGCGGAGAGTCTTCAGAAACCTGACCAGCGACGGTCCTGCCTCAACCCCACCCTCTGAGTCCCTCTAAGCACAGCCCAGCGCCCGCACTGCAGACGGCGCGGCCCCACTCCGTCCACAGTTCTGTCACAGTGGCCTACTTCCTACGCTGTGCACACACTCACAACTGGTGGCATAATTCTACATTCTCCTCACTGCACCTCATTCTGAGCACTTACCCATTTTCACCTGGTCCCCACCTTGGTGTCTACCTAACACTCACCTGCCAAACTCCATAATCAGACATCTGGGCTACAGATTAAAAATAATAAAATGGGCCCCAGAGCCGAGACCTGCACTGCAGCCCACAGGCCTGCCTCCCCGGCCCTCCCACCAGCCAGCACCCAAGCTGGTCAGGGGCCTCCGGCTTGTTGCCTGTGCCTCTAAGACCGAATCATTTCTCGTTAGTGTGTCGATAGGAATGTACCAAATGCCCCACCGAGATGAAAACTTTGAAAATCTCATGAGAAGCCCAAGCCGCCCTGGGCTGTGACTCTCACTGCTGTGGCTTTACGAGCTCAGCTTAGCGCTTCCCACCCTGGCTCCAGTCTATCCCATCCACCCGTCTCCGCTGAACGGGCCAGTGCTTGGTGGTGCCATCATCTCCTCCACATCCTTCTTCTTCCCCTTCCCTGGCCATGAAGTCCACCAGCAGACAGAAGTGCAATGCTGCGGGCACCGTGCCACCTCCCTGGTCTTAGAAGCAGGTGCCCACAAAGCAGGGCCTCGCCCATCTCGATTTCTAGAAGGCCCTGTGGTGACCAACTCTCTGGCCTGTTTGGCCACCTCCCTGCCAGTTCCATTGTCTCTAGGACCCTTTGTAAATCAAGACCCTCACCCGTGGCTGGCAAGAGGCTGGACCCCGCCAGCTCCTCACCTGTGTACCTGAAACCTTAACTCTTTCTATAGCTTGCATTTTGACAACTTGGCCAAGTGTTTAAATACCCGCATCTTAGAAACTCAAAATGCAACTAAACGTCCTTTTCGGAACTGGAAGCAGCTTGAAGGTGACTGTGCACGTGGGGTCTGTGGGAAGCAGGGACCCCCGGAGAAGCACGACTGGAGGGCGCACCGAGTCCCAGGGACAGAGCCGCAGGAGTCCCCTCCTCACAGCTGGGGTGCTAGGCACGGCCTCCGAGAGGGGCCACAGGCCCAAGCAGCCTGGGCTCTCCAGCCGGACACAGCATCTACCCTACCTGCCTGGAGGCCAGGTGTCACCAGCCCTCTCCAACCAGGTTGTGGTTCTGCTGCAAACCACAGACGTGGAAGGAAATCGATTTCTGAAACACCCATTGTATTCAAAACCCGTGTATTACAGCCATCACGCCTCCCTGAGGCACCGTGCTCTCTGCTCACGAGGTGAAGGGACCAGAGATGGAGTGAGAGGGAAGCAGGGCCAGGCTCTCTGGACTAGCCCTCCCTCTTCCCAGCCCTGCTGCGCGAGGGGCAGGTGTGCCCGGGAGGAAGCACCTGTGTCCTGCAGGAGAGGAACCGGGTCGGCTCGGGTTTGCTGGGGCTGAAGAACAAGCAGGTGGGAGTGCCACCCTCGGCGGCTCGGGCAGCCTCGCCCTGGAGTCTGCCCACAGTCTGCTCTCTCCCCAGTGCTGCCAGGCCGACCTCATGCGCCCGCTTGGCCAGGCCGAGCCCCACAGCAAGGACAGATAGAGCCCGCAGGGCTCAACCTGTGGGGACAACACAAGCAAGTCCTGGAACAACGACCAGGAAGACCAAGGCCAAGGGCCTGGTCTGAGCAGCGCCCAGGGCTGCCCTGGAACTGCTGGGCTGCCCAGCGAGGCCGCGAGGGGACGGCTTCAGATCCAGCAGGTGCCAGGAGCGCACAACAGTGAGAACGTGGCTGGACGCCAGCGTCTCCCAGCTCCCCAGCTCCCCAGCTCCTTGTCCCCACCTCCCGGACGCCTCCCAGCCCTGGTGTCTCCGCCCAGCCAGTGCTGGCGACACAGCCCAGTGGCAACTTCACAGGGAAAGCCAGGCCCTCACTGGCCGGGAGAGACTTTCGTGGTCACTGAGCCCCATTCACACCCCCTGCCACTGCTTCCATGGAAACCACATCGCCACACTTTCAAAGGGAGTAGCCCCAGGGACCCCGAGGGACAGACCTGCACGAGGCCGCTGGGCCACGCATGCTGGGGACTGGGGGCCCACAGGCTGCTTAGGGGCCTTCATTTCTTAGCAGAAAAACACAATCACATGTGCAGAATTTAAAATTACAAATAAACGGGGACACAGGCAAGCGCGGCGTTTCCTGAAGCGTGACCCTCTGCTCGGTGCAGCCGGACCGCGCTCAGGAAGGTCACCTGCAGCCCAGTCCACATGCACATCCATGTTCTAACGCTTAACACCCTCTGAAAGCCTCTGACTTCATGGATTTATATGCTGAGAACTTAACATAATTGCAAGTAAATGTGAATGATTTTGGGCATTCAGCTAAGAAGAAAAACAATCTCAGATGCAGGCAATTCCACAGGAAACGGAAGAACGAGCCAGGCCGCGTGGCTGTGGGGCGAGGGAACCATATTTTTGAAACTGGACACAGCAGGCAAAGCAGACGATGAGATAAAACGGGAACAAGACACTTTCACAGCAGCCACGGAACAGCCCCGGAACGGCCGCGGACCCTGGTGGCTCCTCGGTTCCCACCCCCAGAGCCTGTCACCTTGTCTCACGGAGACGCCCACACAGCCCTCACGTGCTCATCGCTCACAGTCTGGCTGCAACTCCAGAAACAGCCCGGGCGCCTTTCTGGATGTGAGAGAGTCTCTTCAAAGACTGAACACAGAGCGCAAGGCAGGCCCGCACACCCAGCTCAGGAAGGTGAGAGTCCACGCGTGTGTGCTCGGCCACGTGGGCACAAACCCCAGAGCCCGTCCCAGATGGTGAGACCCTCGGGCCACCGGTTGTCCCTTCCCGCCCTGAGCCCTGGAGAGACCTAAACCACAAGGCTCACAGCGGAGGGAAGGTCCCACGGGACCACCAAACGTCACCGACACCCACCCGCCTGGACTCTTCCTTCGTCACTGACCTGTGTCAAACCCAGCAGGCTTTGCACCCCTGACTCAGCAGCCGTCAGAGTCATCCCTGTCGGAACGCTGGAACGTCAGCCATTGGGACGTCAGCCACCAGCCAGCCCTGCGGCAGGTCAGGCAGGCACTACCGTCGGGCTCTCCACGCAGACCGCGTGGGCCTGGCCTGTGGGCAGACACGCCTCGAGCTGAGAGTGAGCCGTGGATATCAGACATGGGGACCACTGAGGTGTCCACCTGGAGACACACCAAGGTGGGAAAGGAGCTTTGAGGGGAGCAGAGGTGGACTCAGTGGGGAGAGGACAGACCAGGCAGCACCCGATGCCTCCAGCGTCAGGGCTGCACTGAATCAACTCTCCCAGCAGCACCCGCGTCCCACAAGGTCCAGGAGGGGGACAGGGAGTCATTCCTGACCACAGAGCACGCAAAAAGCAGGAGATGTGGTCCCTGATCTCACAGGCCAGAGACAAGTGAGAAAGACAGGTGTGTGACCATCCTGGCCCAGCATCATAAACACTGTGATGAAGGGGACGGAGGGCCAGGGATTGGCAGGGAGACCAGGAAGGGGGCGCAGAGGGCTGGGAGGCTGGGCGCAGTGGCCCCAGACCCATCTGCAGAGCTCACGAGTGCAAACAGCCTGCATCCTGCGCAGGAAACGGGCACGGGTGTGGTCAGAAAAGAGGCTGGGAGGCAGCCAGGGACAGTGCACAGCCAGCTCTGAAGTAACCAAAACAAGGCAATCGATCTGGACAGAGCGGAGAACTGGCCTGTCTAAATTCAGATAAAAGAGAGACAGCACGGCCGGGAGGAAATGTGAAGTCAGGACGACAGCCACGGAGACCACGGCAGCACGGGGGCGATGGGGCTCCAGGCCCCCACCACCTGCCACACCTGCACCAGACAGGAACCTCGCTTCTTCCTGCCCATGAGCCACCGCTGGCTGATCTTATAGGAGGATCCCCACCGAGAAGCCACGCCCACTGCCCTCTGTGCCCCCTGGCTTTGGGCAAGTTCCCGTCAGCTCCTTCCGAAAGTCTCCTCCAACCAGAGGCTCTGTGGCACCTGTCGTGGCGGAGACCTGAGCCGAGTTGGCATCATCTCAGTGACCCCTGCCCTCCAGCGGGCCCTTCACCCCTGGTCCCCAAGATTCCTGACCGATGCTGGGAAAGGCTGAACGAGAGCCAGCTTCCCCGTCACGGGCTCTGGAGCGAGAAGAGAACTGAATGGCGGAAGGACCATGGAGAGCGGGCTCCCACGTCAGCCACAGTCACAGCAGCTTCGCCCGGCGCCAGGCGACAGGTGACACAGCCAAGGCCTCAGCGCAGGCCAACGCACAAGGGACCCAAGGCCCCAGGAGAAATGGCTCTGCTCTTTGGAAGCGAGAGACACTGTCATCCCATGAAAAAGCCACCCGTGTGTCTCCATGTGTATGAGCAGGACGGGCCCACAGAAGGCGAGGCCACCTGGCAGGATGGGGTGAGCCACGTGGCCCCGAGAGATGTCGCTTCACATGCTATGGTTGG